TCTGGAAGCTCGTTTTCTTTCCCCGGACAGTGGACCACATCAAACGTAAATTCTTGGAGCCGTAATGCCCAACGAGTTAGCTTGCTCTTTTCGTCTTTTGTGCGATCCAGCCACAGGAGAGCGCGGCTGTCTGTTTTCAACGTAAAACGTCTATCTTCCAGATATGGCCGGTATCGTTTAATGGCCCACACTACTGCCAAGCACTCCTGTTCGTTGATATGGTAGCGTCTCTGCGCGTGGTTAAGTTTGGCACTGGCGTAGCTGATAATTTTTTTCTCTCCGGGGTGGGGTTCTTGAAAGAGTACGGCCGCAATCCCGTTTTCGCTGGCGTCGGTTTGCAGCACGAATGGAGTGGCGAAGTCCGGACGGCTGAGTTGGAGTGGTTTGCTAAGTGCTGCTTTTAACTGGCTAAAGGCGACGTCGGCTGCCGCTGTCCATCGGAAAGGGGTGTTCTTTGTTAGTAAGTTATCCAACGGTGCTTGTAATTCGGCACACCGGGGCAGGTACTCTCGTAGCCAGTTGGTCAATCCTAGAAAACTTCTTAGCTTCTTCCTCGAGGTGGGCCGGTCTGCGGTCCGGATTGCTTCGATGTGTTCCTGGCACGGGCGGTTCCCGTTCGCCGTGATGTTGTGGCCCAGGTATTGGATCGTTTGCCCCCCGAAGCGACACTTTTCGAGGGACAAGCGGAGTTTGTGGCGTTGCAGTCGTTCCAGCACGAGGTGTAGATGTTTGAGGTGCTCGTCCCAGGAGTCTGAGTAGATTATTATGTCATCCAGGTATACCATGACGAATTTCCGTAAATACCCGGCGAGAACGTCCTGGGTCATTAGCTTCTGGAACGTAGCAGGTGCATTCTTGAGCCCGAACGGCATTACTTTGAATTGATAACTCGCTCCATCAGGGGTTGAAAACGCGGTGAGATGTCGGGATTCCGTCTCTAGCGGCACCTGCCAGTAGCCTGATTTGAGATCCAGGCTGGAAAAAACTTTGGCCGTCCCCAGGTCTCGGAGGGTCTCCTGTATGACTGGCAGGTTGGTGCTCTCGTCTTTTGTGATGGCGTTTAGACGACGGTAGTCGATGCAGAATCTCGGGCGGCCGTCTTTTTTCTGAATTATGACGATGGGCGAGCAATATTCGGACGTGCTGGGCTCGATCACCTGCGCTGCTAACATAGCTTCCACTTCATCCGCGATGACCTTCTTTTTGTTTGGCGAATGTCGATATGGCGGAAGTCGGAAGGGCGTTGTTTTGGTGACTCGGATGCGATGTGTGGTGGATGCTGTTGTTGTGGGCGTTGCAGGATCGGCAAGTGTGCTACCGAAAGTTTCCAGCAGTGTGGCCAGGCGTCGATCGAGTGGTGGTTGGAACCCGTGCTTGACTCCGGCGAAGTTTATGGAGTCGCTCGTTGTTGGGCCGCGGTTCGGAGCTTGGTCCCAGTGTGTTGTCTGCCTTGTATGGGTTCCCCAGTGGATGCACGCTCTCTCGTAATCCAGCACCGCTCGATGTTCTTGGAGCCACTTCTGTCCCAAGATCATGGGCACGACAAGGTTTGGTGTCACCAGGAAGTCGTCCGATTCTTGCTTGTCGTTGAGCGTGTACTCGACTCTGGATGTGCCGATGACTTCCAGCTGATGGCGGGGATTCGCTAGGCCGGCTGTTTGGTGGTTGCTATGGTGGATTTTCCACGCGAGCTCCTTCTGGATGAAGTTATGGGATGATCCGGAGTCGAGGAGAGCTCTTACGCTTTTTCCGCGTACCTTGACTGCCAGCGTTGGTAGGTTGGGTCGGGTCGCAGTCTGGATTAGGTGGACGGCCGGGCATTGTTCCCGACCGCTGCCCCGTTTCCCTGGTCTCGGCGGCGGGTCAGTACTGGGCAGTCTCGGTGGAAGTGATATTCCGGGCAGTGGTGGCACTTTGGTGTGTTGGGAGGTCTGTCGGCGGGGGTTGGTGGCGATGGTCTGGGTTGGTTGTTTCGAGGTAGCGCTTTGTTGCAGTTTTCGATTTCCTCGGCGTGACGCACCAAGTCGAGGAGTGAAGTGGGTGTTGTGGTTAAAAAGGCTACTCTAATGCGTGGGTGCAGCAGGTCTCTCAGTAGCTCGAGGGGCTCGCCGATCGGGATCTTCAGCCGTTTTGCTAGCTGTGCCTTCCTCTGGAGGAATTGCTGCGGCGACTCTGCTCCTTGTTCTCGGCCGAAGAATTCTGATTGCATCTTCCCGCGAATCTTGCTGCTGTCGTATTTTTCGCGGGTGTAGTTCTTTAGGTCGTTGTATGTCGGTGAAAATGCCTCGTAACTGTTCCACCATTTCGCAGCCTCCCCTTTTAGTTGTGCTGCTGCTGTTTTTAACTTTTCCGTCGGGTCGGTGGTTTGGATTGTCTGCTCGAGCGTGCTGAAGAAGACTGTTGGGTCCTCCAGGTGGTCGCCGCTGAAGGTCGGTAGGTCCGGTGATGCGGTTTTCTGCGCGTTCTGGAGGGCGTCGGTCAGCGCCTTTAGCATGTCGAGGGTGTGTTGAGAGTGTTGGGCGCCACTGGACGGGGTTGCCGGGTCCAGACCGGGGTTGATTGCCGGGGTCATCTCCGTTGTTTGAGTGTCGATACCTTCGTCGGCGCCGGAGTTGGACGTCGGGGTGTTCCTGCTCCTCGTATTCATGGTGTTGCGCGTCGGCTGTCGCGGGAGCGTGGGCGTAGATCCTCAGAGCGCGATGCTGCTGGTTGACTCACACGTATGGGCGCCAATTGTTACCGGGCGGGGTAACGTAAGTGGCAAACGGAGGTTGAAAACGTATATTACACAATATTTACAAATAATACAGAGGATATATGTACATATATAAGATCGCTTCTGGCACGTGGGATGGCGCCGGACTTGACTACGGTCAAGCCGGGAAGTGATGGCGTGCGGAGACGGTACTTGAGCCCAAGCGACCAGCCTCAGTCGCTTGTATAGGGTAAGGTAGGCTTGCCCAGGCACAAGTGAAGTTCCCCTGTCCGTGCGCTGCTTATAAACGATTTCCGGTAGAGGCGTCTGGCGACGCGGCCAATAGGGCGCTAGTGGATGGTGGGGTGGAAGTTGCAACCCCTCTCCTAGTCGTCGTAACACAACGAGAATTCTATAATCGGTCCGTGCAGAGCCTAACTGGAGAGTTAATTTTAATTCCAAATCGAAAAAAATGATTTCGGAAAAAATTCTATAGTCGGTCCGTGCAGAGGTTGTAGTATTGTCGCTGTCTATTCTTTGTTGTTTCATGTTTGAGCGTCGTAGTGCATTTGTATAATTACAAACTATTGAAGAGGATTTAATGCTCAAGCGCTATTTACTGTTGTATATTTATGTAAAGGCGATTTAACCACTCACTTGCGATTTACATCACGTTGGTGTTGGTGGTCACCGAGTGCAATTAGAATTTCGACTCGCATATGAAAATTTAACATATTAATGTATTGCAATTCGCTTTATTTTTATTGTACATGGTGTTTATAAAAATACAATGCATCCTGACGGTGATTCATTATACTCTTACACTGAATTTAAGTGCTTTAACGGGCACTAATTACTTTTTATTCTACCACTTATGGGAGTGTTTATTTGCTAATATGCAGCTAGCAGAACATGCTGTAATTCTAAACATAAATGAGTCATAAATTTTTATTTAATTTCTCAATTAGCACGTCCCCTTCTGCTCTGCGAATATTGGTTTGATGGCCACATGCATATCGTAAAGTGTGAAGAGATTTATAGCATTAAATGCAAAAATCAAAGTAAATGCGACTGCAGATAACCATGGTGGCGTGTTTAATGGGTACGTAAATAAGGCTAATAACGTTTAAAGCACTAACGTAAACAATAGTCCCTTAGTATAGGAGGAAAATATGATACTGGCACGTTTAAATGATTTGTCCTTCACTGGATACGGTAATAATTTTTTTACCAACTGTAATTCGTCTATCCAACTGCTGAAGTATTATATCGCCTTTATACAATATACTAGTGTCCTCAGCATGAACATTAACTGATACGTTCAAATTAATTTCTTCTTACAACTTGATTGTCTGGTGCAGGAAAGCAAATGTCAACTTTCACTGCGGCAAAGTTCGGACGAAATTACGTGATTAATACTTCCCAACCGAATCTCTTCTAGACTTCCCCGGATTAACTACCCGCGGTTAATCTCTCAGAGAACAAATCTACTTTTTGAGTAACCATACTCCTTTTTACTCTGCTGATGAATGCAAAATGTTACTATGGACATAGTCGGTAGTTGTATAGGTGACTGAAACGCAAATAAGTGCCAAAATCTCCCGGAATAAACCCCTACTTAATTTCTTACTGATTAATGAACGCCTTTTTCAAGATGGCTTTTAGTAATACGAGCAAAATGTACCCAATTTTTTGTTAAGAGTACATATGTGGTGTCCTCCGAAATGGACGAGATTTATGCTGTACTTTGTAAATACCCTTACCTAAAATGGGTAAGATAAACTTGTAGTTGCCTACTTTTTAGTCAGATTTTGTTTGAAACAAAATCCGACTGAGATAAGATTACCACGTACTATCTGCGACCTTCTGGAGCTGAGAATTTCATAAAGCTACTAAGAGAACAACGCGCTATAAAAATCAAATGACGCAGAAAAGAAGATCATAATTCCACCAATTACTTACGGCCCTGTACAATTGCACCAGTCACAATTTCTTGGAAAATTCTTTTACGCTTTGTAGATTTTCTATGATAACTGTTCGAACCTTTAAAAAATAATTCCAGATCTACTATATATCTTTAAAATTCGAAAAAATAAATCTACATTTAGACCTACCGTTACACTATGCCAAGTACCTTGTTTTCGTCAAAATTTTACCTAGGTAAATAACGGAGGGTCAAGTGTCGAAACTGCCACGTATCATGCAGCGTCATGAAGCAATAAATAATCTAATAGAATAAAACATTTCTAAAATGACTAAATCGAATAGAAAATCTTTTGGATGATTATAACCTCTTAAAGTATACTCACTCAAAAATCAGCTGAAGGTGTTTAACGCATTTCTTCATCTCCTTTTCCATTACTTCATTGACCAACTCCGGATTTCGTGAGTACTTTTTATTCACCGTCTCTAACGACCTGACCGATCTCGCTCTTATGGTTTTAAACGCTCCCCGCAAAATTGTTAGCTGCATTCCAATGTTGCTTACGAGGGCGGTGAAGAGAGTATCCATTCCTGAAAAGCAGTTTTATCTCTGAAGCATCCAAGATCGAGTGTCCTACCTGAAATTAACCAACATTGATGTAGGGGCGAGACACAGTTGTAAACGACACCCCAAAAGAACCGGCTTCGAGATAAAGAGGAGTCAAACGGCATCCACGACCAGTAAGGTAATCGCTGGGTGTATCTATACGTTGTAACATTATTAGCATCCAGCGTGATTTCCTCATAACGCTCATAATCGGCGAGCATAATCGCTGTCGTTCCTAAAAATCCCGTTATCACCACACAACTGGCCAAACCGAAAAATCCAATAGTCGTAATATTCTTAGTCTTCTTCTCCTCTAGAAGGGTTTTTAAAGGCTGAAAGTCATCAATATCGTCATACTGTAGAGCTTCCGCTTCAAGCTCCTCAATCATTCGAAGAATAATCTTCCTCCTCTTCAGCCAGACTAATACCTTAATACCGCCAAGTAGATGCGTGAAGGCCACGCTCGCGTTTTTAATCACATCGGACAATCTATGTCTCGATCGTCCAAACGACAGGAACTCGGACGGCAAAAAGATTCCCAGCGAAAAACCATTTAATGCCACGAAATAAAACCAGTAGAAACAGCGCTCTGCGAAACCTTCGCCTTGGTCGGGCACCCATAATCCGGCCAGTTTCAGAATTAAAATGTTGACCCCGAAAAAGGTTTTGTTTACTTCGCTCCAATGTGGCACGCATTTCTTCAAAGTATGGTGAACTCGAGCTACGAATTTACTAAATTAATTAGGTTTGAAAATTTCCTATTGCCCCTATTGCTTACAGATTTTTGCAGTCTAAATAAATGTAATGACTTAGGTAGTTCAAATATCATAAAGTAAGACAACCATATGCGTTAAATGAATGTTATGCTCGATATAAACTGAAGTAACAGAGATGTTTTTGTATATATCGTAAGTTTCCAGCATAGCGGTTTTTTAGATCTACAATGTAAGATGTATTGAGTTTTTTGAGGTAGGTACTCAATCCCTACCCAGTTTTGTAAATCACGGATTCTACTTTCCTTAACATCGAACGCTTTACTGGTTTCCCAATGAGGTCGGATAGGATTTACCTGGCATACGTCCCTTAAAAGGACTCTTCAGAGCGATGCAAATAACCCTTTTTAGAAGCCAGTTGAAAAATTTCGGGTATCAAGGAGGACTGTGCCAATCGTGTGCAAGTCAGGTCTATCGACCTAAAGTATATACCATCAATAAATCAGCAGTAACGGAAGTTCGCAGGCTGCGTGCTACAGGAATTATCGTTAGGACGAGCAAGGTAAGTTAGATGGGCTAACGAATCAAAACTAAATAGAAAAAGTTTGTTGGTGGAATATAAAATCAAGCTTTTATAGAGACAAGAAGAAGTACAAGCAAGTGGGGAATTAAAAAAGTATTTAATTTCAAATCATGGGGATGACATCTAACGGAGGAATTTTGCAACACTTATTAGAGGGTGTTAAAATTTCTACGTTACCAATTTTGGTTTTTCTTACAACTGTAATTGGCAAACGCACCTCCGTGCGTTATGAGAGCATAAGTAGGAAATCATAAGAGCTATGGAGAAGACGCCGCTGCTAAGGGACATAGCAATAACGTGCGCGTATCTTACAACATCCGAATACAAATCCATCTAGGTATAAACTTAGGCAGGTCGATGCTGCCCCATCAATATACTCGTTCTAGTTTTTCCTGGTTGTTGGTCACGGTACTGTCTGGGAAATATCTTCTTTTGTGCCTGTTTTTACCACGGCCTCAACACCGGAATCCTAGTTCTTTTGTCCATTTCTGCTTTGTTATCCTTTTCAACATCATATACTTCTATTATATTTTCATTTTCTCTTCCAATTTATTATGTCGTGTAGGTCCCAGAGTTCGTGTTTTCACGTCTGGAATACCATTGATGAACGTTTTGTACCAGGTGGCCACTTTTTAGTTTCAAAAATTTAGTTTTGAATTTGCGTTTTGTTCAAGATATGAAATTTTCACATAAACCGCTTCATAGCGCACGTGAACGAAAATATGTCTGGAAATGAAAGTGATAATAAGGTGTGCATTTTTGTACAAAACGCTAGTGAGACTGGATGGTAAGTGGGTTTTAGGCAGATGAAGTTAGACTATCAAACAGTTACCACGTATTATGTGTGGGTATAATTGCGATTTTTCGTACCATATTAGGGGCGCTACTTCGTTTCTGAAAGTTTATCAAGTAACGATAAAGTGTAACCAGCATTTAGAGTGAAAAAATTCTAAACAAGAACCTTGCTCCTACTTTGGAATATTTCGTTAATAGCTCGGTTATTTTTCCGAAAAGACTTTAGGATCATCTTTAACGGAAAAGTTGAGTGAAAAAGTATAAGAAGCGGTAATTGAATTCAGATTGGTGATAAAGTGGAGTTACTTTCAAGTTCAATTTTATGTTAACGCGGAAGTTAGCCTACTTGCGAAGGGGAAGGTCATGGAAGCATTATTATTATTATTAGTGTTACTTTAATTTGTATAATGTTCAAATTTTCTTATTTCGAAATAAATACAACTGTCCTGAAAATTTCATCAAAGTTGATCAAAGTACACTGGGTGTTCACATACTTATGGAGGGCAGTATAGTTTTCGACTCTTGCAAAGAAAAAGAAAGCGATGCGAGATATTCGGCAAAAAGTGCTTGTTTAGGCATCATTTAGCTACTTTTTCATGAAAAAAAAATCGAACCAACGCATTTAATTTTTTTGAACCATTTCTGTCGGAATGTCGAAAAAAGCCCTCAAGCGGTGATATGTGAAACTAACAAAACTTCAAATATTATAATATTTGTAGCTGAAGAATAGCTCTTTTGAACTAACCCGACTTTGTTTAAATCGGCTCAGCCATTTCGAAGATACAGGGGGTTCTTTACGGAAACCTTTGAATACCCCCCACCACTTCAGTTTTAAAGATACAGCAAAAATTGTCAACCAAAAAAGGTTCAGATTATCGTCGACTTCAAAGACCGAACATTTTTTTGTTAGGTTAATATAGCGGAATTCACAGAAACATCACTTTTTTAGATTCCAGATTGTAGTTACGCCCCCTAGCGGCCATTTCAGAAACTTACAAATATTTTCCAGGTTTTTCTCGTGGCCGTTTTAGTAATAACTGTTTTACCGCAAGCCTCTACGATGGACAGGTTCCCAGATACAGTACCTCGCATTCTTATTTGGCCACCCTGTACAACAAAGTATTGGCGATATCCTCAGCTTTCGAAAGGTTTTGCATTTTTCCTCGGTCATGGCATGAACAGGTTCATTCAGCTAGGTGCCATAGACCTTTGGAATCCTCTGTACTCCCTGGATTACACGCACTTTCAGGAGCTGATGTAAGGATCTTTTGCTTGCAAATGGAAGATAAAGTGGTGGAAAGCTTTTAATTCCGCAAGTAATACGCTTCTAGAAGCTTTGGCTTAATTGGGGACAACCCTGTTACTCATCTAACTAAATACCTACGATTCAAAAGTAGAGGAAATCCCCCAATGGAAACGTTGTTTGTGTACGCGAATGTCACAACTTGGCACGGTCGTCATCAGACGTTAATTCTTGTCTACCTGGATTAGTGACCATCGGTATAACTGCTGTGCGAATTAATTTGTGTTTACTTCATAATTTACGTTAGATGAATCACGACTAGGTATACGTACCGATTCTAATGAATATCCATCGACCTACAAACCGTTAAAAACAGCGAATTACGTCATGTTTTAGTTGGTCAAAGGTGTTGGAATCTTCTGTCCTTGATACATTGCAGCACTTTTAACGGTTTTTCAATTTGTTTACATTCAATTACGTCAACGAGAGTGGTTCCTGTTTTAACTGTGAAACGGAAAAATTCCATTTCACTATTTATTTTACGTTACAACGAGATAGATACAATCTTCACCTATTTCGAACAATGCCATTTAGTTACGGTTACCTACTCTCTTTGTCCAGCAGCGCCAAAAACTTGGGTTTGTAGCAGTCGGAGTTCAGTTCGTTGGTTCAACACATTTCGTAAATCATGGTGGTTTTTAGCGCATTTTTGCAAAAAATTTTTTTTGTAAAAAGTAGCTTTTAATCTCACATTGGCTGGCTGGCTGGCTGGCTGGCTGGTCGGCTGGCTGGCTGGCTGGCTGGCTGGCAGTAAATGCGCGCCCGTAGAAAAACGCTTGTAAAAAGACAAGGAGTGTACATGTAACTATCGGGGCCGTGTAATTAAGAACGTTAGGGATGGGGCTACAAGATTTGGAGTCGACGACATCTGGACGCCATCCCCGAGCGTATTAGACTAACCTGGAGATTTTTCAGTTATTATCTATCTTCTTCTACAGTTTTTCTCCGATTGTTTTCAAATTGGTGTCGTCGGGAAGATCTTGTCAACGCGCACAACTCCTGCGTGGCAGAATTTTGTTTTTTTTTCCTAGGGGCGAAATAAACCACCTTTTGCGCGGCGCGCTTCGAGGGGTAGTCGACTTTGGGCGCCCAAAAGTTTCTTACAGCGCGAATCGCGGTCTCTCTTTCTCGTGTCACTAATAGAAGGTCGAGCTATGTGAAGTACCCAAAAGTTGAATACGATTTTATGCCGGGATTTTAGCGAAATCTACCAAAATGTGAATTACGAATGAACGGGACGTCGGAACTGTGTATCGACAAAGGGAATGTGGTAACCCCCGACGAGATCTTACTGATGGTGGAGTCGAAACTTCAAATCCGAATTGTTGCGGGTGATCAGAAGTGGGTGTCGACAAAGGGAATATGGTAACCCCCAAAGGATTTTAATAATGGTGGACTCAAAACTTCAAACGCGAATTGCGAGTGCACGGTAAGTGAGAAAATGGTACCGACAAAGTGAACGTGGTAGCTTTCGGCAAGATCTTATTGATGGTGGAGTCAATATTGGCTAATAAAACACTGATCTGCCACACAAAAATGCGCTGAAGTCCCTTCGATCTCACACGAGGACTTTGATCATTTTTTGTTTTGATAATATGAGGAATTCTAGCAATTCGAACAAACGGAAGAATAAGAAACATTCGAACAATCCGGCAACTGCCAAAGATGAGAAAAATCCTATTGAGTTGAAAAAGTATTCGAGGAGAGCAAAGAATGTGAAGACACTAACGAATAATTCGTGAAGAATCTGAAAAAAAGAATAATTTTGAAAAACTGAATAATTAAAACATTTAAATTCGAACTTCAAGGTACGGGAGAGCCGAAGAACCTGAAGAGAAACATCCAACAAAAGAGAAGAATCGAAAATGAAGTTTCGGAAGAATCGGTATAATAATCTTAATCATCCGAAGAAATAAAAGAATCACGGAAATTCAAACAATACCTATAAGACCTCAACAATCGGAATAATCCAAAAAGATTGACGAACCTGAAATCCAAAAACAACAGAAAAATTGAATTGATCCGAAAAATGACTCCTAGTCAGATATAGGCTACTTATTGCCAAAAATTCCAGGGCTCTAAAACAATTCTCCTAAAAGTAGTTCACATCAGCAGAAGTGGCCGGACGGAGCTTTAGGAATTCTCTTCAGGAATTTGTTACTGGAAAACGCTCAGAGGACCATCGTACTCTCTCGAAATAGTTTTCGGCAAGCACTTAATCGATAGAAACCTCGCAAACCTTCCAAACGTGTTTCGGGGTTTTATATCAGTGGTTTTACAGACATACAAACAGTTTTTACAGCTTTTGATGAGCTTTGACTCGTCTCAAACCTTTCTAGGCTCGCTTGGATTTCAGGGGTACAGCGGGCTACGCTCCCTAAATTTGCATAATAGGCCCACGCCCCTGTCGGACCTTTCTAGATCTTTCTTAGAAGTTTTAAAACATTTCTAGAGATCTGTCAATGCTTTCCACAGCATTACTAGGAGTACCAAGTTAAAGATTTCCAGATCCTTGAAGATATTCTGTATACATTGTTAGAACATTTCTACAATTACAAAAAAATGCGGCCACTTTCTCCGTCCTTTTCCGTCTCCCGCTGTCACTATCAGATTTTGATCTTAAAAGTTATTGCCCCTTTCGTTGAGACCTTTCATTAGAGTACCATGAAGGATAAAACTAGTTCCACTCCCCCCTCCCTTTCCCTCCACCCCGTACTTTGATAAGAGGACAGAAAGAAGAGCAGTAGTTGGTAGAAAACGGTTCCTTTCGTTGAGACCTTTAATTAGAATACAATGAGAGATAACATTAATTTTTAACCCCCCTCCCCCTCAGGCCCCGTCGCTCACTGATCTCGAAAAAGAGTCGCACGGGAAAGTTATAGTTTGTACAAACCAATTTATTTCGATGAGACCTTTCATTAGAATACCATGAAGAGTAGAACATGTGTTTACCCCCCTCCCCTCATTTTCTAAAGTTTAACTTGGCACCACTGCAGGCATGCGTATGCAAAATCTGAGACCTATTGGTTGTCGTATGTAAAAGTTATGCACGTTTTCCTTTCAAAAACAGCACCTCAGGAAATAATTCGTGGGGGGGGGGGGGGGGCCTTTTAGACAGCGAAATTTGATTGCCGTCTGGCACACCTTCAAGGTATAGGCTACCTAGTGCAAAAAATTCCAGGACTGTAGGACCATTCCCCTAGAAGTAGTTCAAAATGGCAGTTTTTCGTCTATCACGAGGCAAAATTTCAAACTGAAAGTATTGTATTCACTATTCGCGATTCAGATTAACACTAGAGGCGCTGATGTAATTAACAAATAGCGTGTATTTAAGTGAAATTGCACTAATTTGAAAATGACTTGACTTTTTCATGCCGGTTTTGAGACTTGAAAATATAACCCCTTAATTAGCTTGAACACGCAATTAACTTAATTTTCTCATTAATTACTAGTAAAGATCACAATTTATCATTTAATTTCTAGCGCACTCGCACAACTGTACAACTACTCGCCGTCATTTCCTTACGTTGATTATGCTTTAAAGCAGTCTTCCTATTCCTGGCATAATTACACTGACCACAATTTAAACAGTAGGTATTTTTCGATGTGTCGTACTTTGATAAATGACGATTTATTTTTTTCTTACTACTTACCTATTTGTTGCATACCTAATCGCAGTGTGCACGTAACATCTTTCAATGTGAATATGCCGCTTTAAGTTTTGCTAATAGCGAGTAGCGCAATTACACTGTTCACAAATTGTTTGAGAAGGTTGTGTGTGTTAATAAGTGTCACTTTAAGTAAACGCTTAATTGTACCGTAGGTATTACACTGATAGCAGTGATAGAAAGTTATCCAAAGCGAAGTGTTTCAAACAATAACGTAGGTGTATATCCCCTATTTTTGTCGTGTAATCGTACCGTTAACAATTAAAGACTTTGGAAAAGCTATTTAGTTTAGAGGATGATTTTTTAACTTATCGTTATTGTTGGTTGCATAATTGCACCGATCACATTTAAAATTCTTGAAAGTAACATCATTGAATTTGTAACATGATAAAGTGGACGTTTTAAACTATCCTTGCTCTTTAAAATTACATTGATTGCATTTACAGCCATAAAAACTACAATATTGATCACTTTTGGCCATTGTAAATAAACAAAATGGCGGTCTTATACCACCAAGAATAATGACCAATGTACTGCCGCCAGAGATCTCACTGTTAATCGGAATCGCAAATCCAACAAGAGTCAAAACAATACAATTAGCCAGTACCGTGCTTTTCGAAGTTGGCATTTTTGACCCCCCTCCCCCTCTCGTTGCGGATGTTTTCGCAACGGCCCTGATATTGTTGCTTTGACTTCACAGAAAATAAACCTCTCAAGCTCCTTAAACTGGTACCGGCACTATACCAATTGACAACACCGCATACGAAAAACAGAACAAGTAAATCCATGTCCACTTCTTAATAAATATCACATCTAGAGGTATACATAATGCATTGACAGTCAGGCGGCGATGAGTGCCCTGTCAGTAGAGAAGTTCCGATCAGCTACGGCGCTTGGTTGCAGGCGAATTTTAGATAGATTAGGTGTGTCTAATAGGGTAAGCTTGCTCTAGGTGCCAGTGCACTGCGGAGTAGGGGGCAACAAAAGGGCGAACGCGCTGGCTCGCGAAGACATTGGTGGGGTCTTTGTCGGTCCCGAGCCTACTCTAAGAATCACTCCTCCGTTGTCAGGCCCTAGATTAAAGACTGGGCGACCAGTCAATTCCAAGCTCAGTGGCATCAAGAAACCGGATCGGACGGTCCAGGGCCTTTTTAACAGAGCCTCTTAGCAAATCTGGGTCACCTAAGCTGCTAAAACTGAGTGGAAGCCAGATTAGGAAAATCACCGGTGTCCTTACGTCCACTGGATGGTGAACATTGGAGTTGTAGAAGAGTCCTCGTACAGGTTCTGTGGCGAGGTAGATGAAACTACCGAGCATGTGGTCTGTCACTCTGACGCTTTGATACCTAAGAACATCGGCGCCTGGCGATAGTTATCTGGAATTGGGGAGGGTGAAGCAACTTAGGCTATCCGATATTGAGAGGCACAGACCATGAACCTAATTGCGAAAGACAGGGGGTAAACCCCAGGCCTTTGGTGTGCCTAAATGCTGCCTAGTCGGGGATGAATAAATACAATAGAATAGAATAGTCTGAGGCTCAAAATTCGTGTAGGTTTGTGCAGAACATTCATTCTCCATCTCATTTTTCCTGAAATCTCAGAAGAAGCATTTTATAACATTTTCAAAATATTCTATTTTCTATTCAGAGCTAAAACCTTTCTCAGAGATATGAAAAGTGCTGGACTGGGGCTAAAAGGCCATTTTTTAGGTAAATTTCTATCTACCTATTGTAATGGTACCAGTAGATATATTTATGAGTAAGTAGGTTTATATACCTATGTATATCACTTCCAAGAAACACACGACTCACTTTCGTAATTATGAACCGTTTTCGACCAAACTTTAAGGGCTGGTGTAACTCATAAATATCTATCTCGGTTAATTTCGTGAATCAACCGATTCCGCCATATTGGAACAAAATGGCGTACTTTGCAGGTAATGCAGAAATCTACCTACACCTGATCGGCCGAACCGAAGGGGATTTTTTATTTAACACAGATCCTTTTATGTCACTGTTGTTCTATGCCTTTCGGCTTGAGTTCCATACCCTTTCTTGCGCTTTAGCGTTGGGTGAAAAATTAATTAATAATTATTATTCGTTATTCAATGGTTTTGGGCACTGTTAGAGCTTTCTTGGGGCTAAATTAAGTGACTCTACCACACTTTAGCGTGAGTATTCAGATTATTAGTATATGTATTATAATTACGGGATCGAATTTGTACACCACTGCATGTACCTACTTACTACATTGCAGTTAATTGAGTTTATTATACGAATTTTTTGGAATTCTTGGCATTTTTGTGAATTTTCCGAATATCCTTGAATTATGTTATGACATTTTTTAATTTCTTCGCATTTTAATTCATACGCTACAATAAATCCTATATTTCAAGGAATTTGGAAGCAGTCAGTTAATAAAATCGTATAAATCGAGTGTATCGTGTATAAATCGTATTTTTAACCAGTCAAAGCATGTGGCCAGAATGGTCAGTTATGATAAAGGTAGATGAAAAGGTACGTTGGGGTCGTCTTACTCAATAAGGAAAAACGCTGTTTGAAATTTCATTATTTTTTTATTATTACTCTATTGTGCCTAGTACAATCAACAGCGTGTTACACCCAATAAACTAAAGCCTAAACGAAAACTATTTATTTACAAACACAATCTATACCCCGTAACAGTTGGCATACGTAACCTTTATTATAAAATCAAATGCCTACAGCTTTTAATACAACTATGTTTTGTGATTCTTTAACATTATAATTATCCTGCGGGAAAATTGTAATATTTCGTAATTCGGAGGTGTTCGAGCGAGGAACGCCTTTGTAAATAATGTACTGACTAACGCTCGGAGTGTAAAAGGCAAATACAAGTTGAATTTACAAGAAAAGAAAACGTGGAACTCGAAATTTGGTCACTCATTATCATGAATAATACGCACTAGGTAACATCAAGTCGTTGACCCTGGTAGATTCTACCGTGCCAATAATAGGACATCAGGTTGACGAAACACGAAAACAAAATTAAGTCTTTACAGAAATGGCAATGAATAAACGTCATTCGAAACACTTTAAATTCCACGGAAAGCCATTTCGTATTAAATTAAATGCAAATTTCGGAATAACTACCTACTTGTACGTTTCGCGAAGAAATCCATATTAGTCAAAGTATGATACGGTTATTGTTTATCATCATTTTATTAATTAATTTACCTATGCCCAAACTGGATTGTCGTGATTGATGAGTTGAGTTCCCAATAGAAACTTTTGAGTTCCCAATAGGAACTTAGGTAGTTTCTTGTTGTAGACTCATGTCGTGTTTAATTTGATGGCACGAATGACACATGGAAACTATGTCGGTAATTTAATCACCGTGCAAAAGTCGTGATTTTAATTAACTCCTTTGTTTATATTGTGTAGCTACGCTATTTGAACAGAAAGATGTTATAATAAATTAAAGAAACGAGGTAATGATTTTGATATAGTTTTGTGAACAAAATTAGTGCACGAATAATGTTTATAATCCTCTCTTTTAAATGAGTTAAGGTCAAAGAGGTATGTCCATTAAAAACATGTTTAACCTTCACCTAGGCCGAAGACTCGGGCCCAATGGGTTCAATGCGATTAAGCTCAAAATGGAAAATGCTTACCTTCAGTTGCTTACTAACAAGATTTTAGGTAAAAAGTTGAGCGACGTTGATTGGTATGATTAAATTGAATTTAGCGTGTTTTAATTGTTTTCAGCTATTGTTTTCGTAGTGTTTTATTTAGCGACCTTCAATTGCTTTTTGGACACAGCCTACATCAGCGTCTACCAAAATCGGAAGATGATGATACTCGTAGGTCAAGGCTCGCATAAACAATTCTCTTGTGTTAATAGTGAGAGCTGCACAAGCAAAGTAATATCAAGCCTAACTGCCTAACAAATAGACTTGCATTTCCCATGTCAATAAAATTGCAGATCTATTTTGGGTTTGTCATCAAGATCACGACCGTGCGAGTTAACCGGGAAAATTTGAGGACACGACCTTGGAACATAGCTCAAGGTCATGACCTCGGTCCAGAATCCATTGCAGTGACTTTGGTCCAAAAGCCAAGGCCGCCATATTGAGAAAATCCAGGCCGCGACCTTGGCCCAAGATTATGACCTTGTGATATGACAAAATCCAAGATGGCGACTAGTACTTGATAGTATTATGCTTTTGTTCTGAAATGTTATGACAAAGAGTTATACAATATGGAAGATGGAAGTAATACCACAAAATAAATAGTAGTAAGGTACCTATTCTATGGTAATACATCAATGATTTTGAATCTCTTCGCAGTTTGAAGATTTTGTGATTCCCACTCATGTAACTATAATGCTAACTATGCTTTTCGAAAGATCTTATTGATATTATACAGGAACGATAATAGTGCAAGTGCAATCTGTGTACTGCCTTTTATGCCAGAAATCAATTACAATTTTTAGAAGAAATCCCAAATTCATTTTAGGAATGACAGAAGTGACAACCTACTAAAATTTGATGCCAATTAGGCAAGTGGCTTTTCTTTGTGAGGTTTGAAAGTTAACTGTAGAGCGGCAAAAGCGGACTGTTTTTTAACAAGTACCCGCGCTAAAACCTTAAGAAACGACAAGTGTTTACCAGAATATTTACACCACCTAGGTGATATTTTTTCTCATACCAATAGTTTGAATTGAATTTTACAGAGAACAACCCTATATATGCAGAATTTAATTTTCGGTCACACTCCCCAAAATTGTACGCTGTAACGAGGTGACATTTGCTCGGAAAAACTGAAAATTACGACCTGTATCGTGGTGACAAAAAAGCGTACACATATTTTTCAAAATCTCATTTTCGTGGTGTAGGGTCTTGTGAAGCTTCTATGGTGAAAAAGTACTCTCCTCCGATAAACCGTTTTCGAGATATTCGCTCTTGAAGTGTTTACACCACAAATGGATTTATCTCTGCCATACGTCTTAATCACTTATTGGTAGTGCCCGCCTCCAACAGTCCGCTCTTGAAATAAAAGGAATTATAACTGAAAGTTATGGTTTAGGT